ACTTTGAATTACAATGAAAAAAATAATTACATCCGCTACGGTTGATATCATAAACAAGTCGAAAATTGTGTTTTTCTTAGACATGAATATATTTCTGCCCCGAATTCAAAGGATATGACAGCCATTTTTGCAATTTGCCATTTTGACAGCCATTTGGACAGGCAAAAAATACCTAATTGCGATTTAAATGGCGGTGATACCGTTTGAAACTTAAAGTATTATTTTCAATAGGGTACACACAGAAGCGAATATGCTACTAGAAGCCACACTGTGACGTATCTTAATAATCACATACCATTCTCTTTTTGTAAACTTTTAACAAATCCACCCAATACCAATATTGCAATATCATTACAGTGTCCGAAGAATTAAAAAAATAAAAACGTCATATTTGACAGAACTAGAGTAGCTTAGATGTCGATATTAAAATATCGATAAATTCGGAATTAAACAAAACATTAAGGAACTCTGAAATAATATTGCAGTATTTATTCGAGCGTTTAGTTTAACATTTGTTTCGCTAAACGCTGAAGTCAATATAATATTTAGCCTTAGATTCATTTTTAACCGCGTCGCGAAGACAATAGAAAGCAATACTGAATGCGGTTAAAAGTGAAACAGTCTTACATTCCAGTTCATTGCACAATAAATTTGGAGGTTAAATTACCTGCACAGAATTGAACACATCGATTGGATTATATTTTCATGTAAAATGGTTCCAAACAATCGTTATTTGTTTTATAACAGTTCTTATTAAATGCTATAGCAGTGACACTGACCAACTCGAACTTAACCTTGCCAATATTTTAAACGTAAGTAATGCCAGTCTTAAATGCGCTGTAACGCCTTAGATATTTTAAGTTACTAACCAAATTGGTATTAAGTATGTTGAATTTTTTTTATAGTGGCGGCATTCCGAAAGCTGGCGGCGCCTATAAGTAAATATGTGGCTTATGCCGATCATCATATTAATGTTGTCTGATATCCACTTTTGCAGCGATTTTTCTCACTCACAGATCAAGTCAAGGAAAGCTTTGCTGGCGTCACTGTAATGGCACGTAATAAGATACGTAATATATCTTATGTTGATTGATAAGGACTGCTATTATTATTACAACTAAAAGTGTGGAAGGTAAACTAAAACTATTTAAATAGTGCAGTCAACAGGTCAGATTTTTAAACTTACGCTTTACATTGTAATTGCAATAAATTGTAAGGAAGGAGTATTAACGCGTATAGGCGAATATTTTCACCTACCTATATTTCCCGATATTTCGACCGAGTTACAACGCATTCGTTAATCCCATTTCCGTAAAATTTATATCAGTTTTTTTTTTCAATTAATCTTTAATATTGTAAGCGGCAAAAAATTTTTTTGGTGTTTATAAAATCAGTAACTTTGTACTGATTACACTACTATTTTTATATTATCTCATAATAATATAATATAATAAATATTCTTAGGACTTGACTTTTTACAAATACAAAAGGCTTATTTAGTTTGCCTGAATACTGCTTATTTTAAACTAAAAACTTCCCAAGCAATTAATATTTAACTGTACATGGATTCATATGTAACAATCTGGTGGCTCAATAAAGTCGTATCTTGCAATTAGTCCTTTTTATTTAAAAATTAAGAGTTGTTACATTAATTTTATCCATTTTGTAAACGGAGAGGGCTATAATTTCATAGATATATATATTTATTAACTCATATCAAATTATTATCAATATATTCAACTACAGTTGTGGTCTATTCAAAATACCTTTTTGTTTAAATCCGGAAATTCTGATATTGAAAAATGGCTGATCCAATGTTTGATACGATACATAAACAAAAATTAAACAGAGTCCATAGTTAAATATGTTAATTATATTACGCTAAAAACGGAAATCATTTAAAAGAGTATGAAAACATTGATCCATAAAAAGATTAAAGATATAAGTAAACACGATTCAAATTAATATACACATCTAATGCCAAGAAAAATAATATAATCATGACATTGTATCATAAATGCTAGAGATAGATCAATTCCGTTTTATATAAATTAAATTAAATATTTATTGATAACTCGCCGACTAAAAATTTCCACCAAAGACGACTTTCTAATTATTTTCTGACCCCTTTAGGCATTCGTGGCGAAAACATATATTATAAATATTAATTATAATATATGTAGTAGGTTAAGTCAACCCATTTAGGTGCATCAGTTTTCTACGTGTTCATCCCTTTAAATGATAAAATTTTCACCTACGAGCCCTCTAGAACTAAAACTTCAATTAGCATTCTGAACCTCTACTAACTTTAATAATATAGCATTATCAACAGCACAAGAGAGACAGAAATATTACACAGTTGTGTATTACACAGTTGTGTAATATTTCTTTGTCCAATGTTAAACTTGAATACTCTGTAAATAGAATTTGAAAACTATTAGATGTTTACAATAATCTAATGAGTGCATATTGGCGTTTTATTTCACATCTAAAATAATAAAGGGCTTTTAAATTAGCAATGACCACTCTTTCCATCAAAACACGTCAACTACATGTTCTGTTCTTATTTTCCTATATACATAGGTCAAATAACTCGATGTTGACCAAAAATTCTACACTCCATTTTATTAATATCGATACAAAGGAGTTCTCTTTCTCATCTCTAAATTAAAATTAAAAACATAATATCTACCTCCCCGTCTGTTCACTCAAATAGAACAAGGAAAGAGGATATGGTACAAAATTTTTATAAACAAATCTGTCAAATTTCTCAATTGATTTTAAACTTTAGAGTTGAAAATCAATTGCGGACTCGATCGATGTGAATTTTTTTTATCAATCAATTCTACCTACTTTTTAGTTTAACTACATACACCATGTAGTATACATGTAAATTACAAGCAAAAAATAGTTTAATATACAAATAAATATTATTATCTTATTTTCTAAAAAGAAAATTCAAACTAAAACTGTTTCAGAGTTATTATGAATTTATATAAGTAATTGTAATTCCCTTGTTTTAAACATCGATCAATTTGACGTATTTTTTTTAAATTTTAATTCTGATAGCGATGTCTTTAAATTTGTATACCGGTTTCGATAATTATTATAAAATACTAAATATTAAATATCTATTACATCAATCACAACATTTAAGAACAATTATACAGTAAATCTCAATTAATTAATACAGTAAGATACAACTGATGTGTCTTAAATGTGAATTTTAGAGATGCGCCTAATAGTGAAACCGGATATTCGGCCTATTATTTTACTATTTTGACAAGGTTTAAAAACAAATGTTGATTTGAATTTTAATTGCTTTATTTTATAAGCTTTATTGAACATATTCTTCATATAATTTTTTTGACTTATAATATAACATAAATCTAACATAAGAAGTTCTGTCTTTTAGTACTGTACAGTGTCGTGTAGCCACTGTATAGTACTAACACCGATCATTCCGTAAAACCGATAATGCGGCCGAATACAAATAGTAAAAAAAATACCGAATACGCAGAATACCAATTACCGAACGAATATTCGGTGCATCTCTAATAAATATTGTAGCACGTCTAATGTCGACCAATCAGAATGCTTCAAGAATCAGACCATCAAACGATCCACCAATATCCACGCATGCGTTGTATTTTACACCTTACATTTATTAAAATAAAGCTGACTATTTTAAACGCAATTCTGGTCTGTGCTAAAGAATATTCACAATGCATATTAGTTAGGATTTACTGTAATAATTTTCGTGTCGAATATCATTGTTATTAACTGAACTAACTCGAAATAAAGAAAAAAAACATAGACAATAATTTTCCCGCCAATTTTATTAGTACGTCACATTACATGCATAATAATCTCTGTTTTAAACATAGATTTTACACCAAAATGATAATCTACCCAATATTGTTTATATCTTAATTTCAGTCCAATAAGCGTATCTTTTACTTCTTCAATCCACCGACGAGTCTGAATCGTCGTTCTTGGTTAGAATATAGAAGGCGATGACGGGAATCGAACCTAACACCATACAGGATCCCATGCCGTAGAAACACCATGAGTAACCACCTGTCACATCTCTGACGAGACCTGTAAAATATTATATTTAAAATCATAGGCTTAGACAACGTCCAAAAAACTAGTTAAGTGCGAGTCGAACTGGCGCGCGAATGAGGAAGTATTAAAAAAAACATTAGTACCCGAAATCAAACTAGATGTCGCTACGGTACTTTCTTGATTTCTCTATGACAACTCTACCGGTTTTCTTTCATGTATAAAGGTAAATTAATTTTCAAAACTCTGTAAACAACTTATATTCTACTTGTACTTTTTCGTATTTCTATTGATATCTTTTCGAACTTTGCAAATATCAGTTTTTTAATATGTTAGTTAAAAGGAATGGAAATTACTATATTTGGTCCGTTCGTTTCCTGCAAGAATCAACTTTTGCTAGAGTCGCCATCTAGTGGAGGCATTATTAGTGCTTTCGTTTTTATATAAACCGGAAGGGTTGTCATGGAGAGATCAAGAACGCATCGTAGCGAAATCTAGTTTGATAGGAACTAATGTTTTTTTTTAATAATTCCTCATTAGAAATGGCGAATTTGTTATGTCGAACAAAAATTAATGAAAACGAATGCTCAACGAGACGGACGATTCAAGAATAGTGCTCCCGAGCCCCCGCAGAGGGGAAGTAAAAAGGCTGATGACGACGATGACGTAGGAATGAGTCTTTCGCAGAATGAGGTATTATGCGAAAAGGTCTATTAAAGAATAGGTCATTTCGAGAATAGGTCGTTTTTTTTGGCGTAAGCTATTTCGCGAATTGGTACAATATCTACTATTGATTTATTATGATATAGAAATGGTGAATTTGTTATGTCGAACGAAAATCGAGTGAAAACGAGTGCTCGACGAGAATAGAATAGTGTTCCTGAGCCCCCGCAATGGGGACGATGACGTATAAAAGGTACGGCGGCGGCACTGACCGGCGGTGGGCGGCACGGAGACGGCGGCGAGGCTCTGGAACATGCGCACGAGCCCGTAGGAGGAGGCGATGCGCGCGGTGCCGAACGCGTCCGCCAGCAGCACCGGCACCAGCAGGAACCAGCAGCCCAGGCACAGCCCGTACGCACCTGACGCGTGACGCAATATGCATTACGCATTACTTCCGTCATTGGATAGTTTCGGTAGTGAAACATAAGTGGCGGAAATAAACATACTCTGGTTTTGAGTCTTAGACTTTATTTATTAAGATACAAAACAGGATATAATAGGGTATTTGACGTTATTCTGAAGACTATTTAAAATGGTTGTTTGATACATTATAAACACACTGTCAATATATTTCATGAGAATCTGTTCTATTTTTGATGAAAATAATTGTTAAAGTTTAAATAGCCAAAAATCGCGAGAAAAACGCTGCTGTATGTAATGGCGCTAATTACGTGGTATTAGTGACGTCACATGGCGGTAAATGTGACATCGATTTCAGTGTCGTGACGCTAAAGACATCAGCGTCGGTGACGTCAATATAGTTGTCGTTTCGTCATTGCGAGTATCGGGACTGACACTCGCACAGAAGTCACTACACTTACATCGACGTCACGACACTCACACGCTGATGTCTTTAACGTATGACACTGACATTACTTTAACGTAATGACATATGACACTGAAATCGATGTCACGACACTCACATAATGTCATGACTCTGACAAAAATCACGACAACTTCTTCGACATCACTTTACCTCATTCGATCACGACACATACATCGACGTCACGACACTCATACGACACTCACATCGACTTCAACTACACACAAGTCGATGTCCCGACACTCACATCGACTTCGACCTCGATGTCAAGACACTTACACAGACTTCGCGACACTCACAAAAACTTCACGACACTCACACTCACGTCGATGTCGCGACACTCACGTCGAAGTCGCGATACTCACCTCGATGTCACTGACATTCACGTTGATGTCATGCCACTCACATCGACTTCAACTACACGCAAGTGGATGTCCCGATCCCTGTCGATGTCACGACACTCGTCGATGTCATGACACTCTCATTGCCATTACTGACACTAACAAAGATGTCACGACACACATCGAATCGATGTTGCGACACTCACACAGACATCGACGTCGATGTCATGACACTCGGACAGAGGTAACGACATTCACATCGTCGTTACTCACGACGATACATCGACATCGACGTCGATATCATGATACTCACACAAATGTCACGACACTCTCATCGACGTCGAATCCACGACACTCACGACGTAACCGACACTGACGTCGATGCCACGACACTCGCTCAGACGTCACGACAACTACATCGACGTCACCGACACTGACGTAGTTGATGTCTCGACACTCACACAATGAGGAAGTATTTAAAAAAAAAAATTAGTTCCCGAAATCAAACTAGATGTCGCTACGGTACGTTCTTGATTTCTCCATGACAACCTTTCCGATTTTCTTTCATGTCTAAAAGTGAATTAATTTTCAAAACTCAATAAACAACTCTTATTCTATTTGTACTTTTTCGTATTTGTATTGATATCTAAGTTCCGAACTTTGCAAATTTCAGTTTTTTAATATGTTAATTAAAAGGAACGGAAATTACTACCTTTGGTCCATTCGTTTCCTGCAAAAATCAAGTTTTGCTAGAGTCGCCATCTAGTGGAGGTGCTTTTTAGTGCTTTAATTTTTTTTTTAAATACCTTCTCATTGATTTTGATGATGTTTGAAAATCACACCGACACCAATACACTAACATCGACATAACTTTATTGACTTTACCTTATTTTAGATAATCATAATTATCATCAAACTAATTAAACATTATCACTACTCAAGTAATCATATTATTTTGACATAATTCACCGTGCGAGCGAGCCCATTGCGGATTGGTAGGTGTTTACAACTACAAAAGCATGTAGTGTCAATTTTTGTGAATAAATTTTTGAGGACCCATCCTACGACTGACCTTTGAGAAAGTTGAAGACCGGAAACACTCACGACTTCACCATGAAACTCTGTCTATGTCTTTACTAATATTATAAAGAGAAACATTTAATAGTTTTTTAGGAACCATTAGGTTGAATGTTGGGTGCCGTAGTGTGGTGATGGAGACAACTGGCCAGGAGACTAAAGGATAATTGTCTCCCTCCGAGCTAGGTGTTGTTAGCCCGGGGACCGCGGTCCAACCGATGTAGGTTGGACGTTCTATTTATGTTAATTGGTAATGAAACTTATTCTGTGTGATGTAGGTTTCTTTGTTCTAAATGTCTTATAGTTATTAATTTATGCTGCTTGTATTGGTACAGCGCCATCTCGTTACTTGCTGTTGAAACTTATTGCAGTTCGTCTTGCTATCGATGGCTGTGACGATGCTAGTCTTCTCGCTATCGATTATTGTGGCGATGTTACTGCGATGAATTAGATGTCGCTATGTATCAGTCGCCACAGTTTGTTTGCATCGGATGAGTTTCCAAACTACTGGACCTATTTTAAGAATTCTTACACCCACAGGAAGCTACATAATATGCGATGAACATAGGCTATATTTCATCCAGGAAAACAGCAAATAAAAGGATAACTATTGGAGCAGAAGTTTGTAAAGGGACTTAAAAATACCATTTTTAACCACACTAACCATATTTTACTATTTAAATTGGGCATTGTGATTATATCAGTGTCGTGATATGAAACCTTATCCAAATGAAATAATAAATAAATCCTAAGCCAGGATAAACATATGGGCTACTTTTTATCCCGCTAAACAGTTCCCTAGAAACCACGCAAGTGAAGTTGGCGGAAAACTAGTTTGGTTTGTAGGTGAATAAAAAAAAAAAACAAATTAATGAAACAACATCTAATTCTATATTCCTTTATTTCGTTCGTCAACTTTCGTAGTTTTTCTCATTACATATTTGGGTACTAGAACAATAAAGTTTATTACTTACATAGCAGGGTTCGGAATGATAATTATCTTAATAATTTGTAAAACACCACACAAACTCTTTGCGTACTTTGGAACTTGTTATTAAAGGGGAATAATCTTTTAACAACTATCAAATATGGTTTTTTTTTTATATAGAGAATTGTCTAGGAGAGTCACACTCAACCTTTTTTTTAATGGGGCCACAAACACGTTTCGATCTTGAAGCGCGGGCTGCAAAAATATGTAGGTGTTAAAAAAAACGTAATTCCAAAGTGGCGATGTATTTATTGAAAAAAGAAAAGGTGGTCACAATAAAGCCAGCTATACAATACATAATTTTGTAACCTTTATAATATTAGGTTATGATGAAGCCTCATGCAATGTAGACCAAACTTTAAAAGAGCAAACTTTCAACAGTTTTTCTGATGGGCGCGACATTTTAAAACTTAGTCAAAGTTTTAAAATTCTAGGTGGGCCAAATCACAAAGGCCCGGCGGGCCGCAGGTTGAGTATGGCTGGTCTAGGACGATTTTCATTTCATTCAATGTGGTTTGAATATATTTTTATAATTTAAAGCAACAAAAATAAGAATTATTTATGCCTTTCTGTATTTTTAATTTTTTTGCCAGTAACCACCGATAATTATCAGATATTTATCATAATTATCAAAAAAGTAATTATCTTGGTAATTACAAACCCTGTTAGCATATAGAGTTTAATATCAATTACAGGATCCTCACCTCATTATGGTAAATATGTCAATTAATATCGGTCATTCAAAAACTTGTGTTTGTATTATTATTAATTTAAAGAATTTAATCTACCTTTTATATATATTATTTTTTAATGTTACCAGTACCCAATACCACCAAAAAAACTAATAGACGAAGAGCTAGTGACAAAAATGTGCAAGAGCTTTCTAAAGCTTGACATTTCAGTATGTTGAAGTACCCAGTGCGGAGGTCAGGTGCTAGAACACCTGATGGCTGCCGGGCAATGTGGAATACCAAAAATCGTAACTTAGATTAACATTGAAATATCAAGCTTTAGAAACTTGCACATTTTTGTCACGGTCTCTGAGACTATAAATCATTAAGATATTATTTTAATACATATATAGGTAATATATTAATTATTAGTCCAGTCAGAGTAATTCAAAGAAGGTCAATATGGTGTCAGTTTTGGCTCACGATTTGGCCGATGCAAAAGATGTACAGATTTATTGAATACATACCACGATGACTTAAATTTTCCAAAATATCTTATTTCACACGAAGTATAAGAAAAAAAAATTGTCGTTGACAGATTGACAACATTTGCAAGATGAAATAGATTGCCATCAAATTTCTGAAAACAATAGAACGTAAACTTATTCTGCAATATCAAAGACGCATGATTCATTCTGGCATGAATTAGCACCAAATTATCGATCTAACCAAACTCGCGAGTTGAACTGACGCCGGATTGATCGTCTAGTGGCAGCCTTATGTTAAGTAATGTTTCTTGTGACATTTATATGACAGATACGTTTAGAAACTAATTATTGTAAAAATAGCGCTCTGAAGAGGAACGTTATTTGTAGTTAACATTTTAATTTTTTAAAATCACATTTAAGCGTTAATAACGCAGAAATATTACTTTGAATTACAATGAAAAAATTAATTACACCTGTTACGGTTGATATCATAAACAAGTCGAAAATTGTGTTTTTCTTAGACATGAATATATTTCTGCCCCGAATTCAAAGGATATGACAGCCATTTTTGCCAATAGAACTTCATCAAGGCAAATAATACCTAATTGCGATTTAAATGGCGGTGATACCGTTTGAAACTTAAAGTATTATTTTCAATAGGTACACACAGAAGCGAATATGCTACTAGAAGCCACACTGTGACGTATCTTTATAATCACATACCATTCTCCTTTTGTAAACTTTTAACAAATCCACCCAATACCAATACTGCAATATTATTAGTGTCCGAAATTTAAAAAAATAAAACCGTCATATTTGACAGAACTAGAGTAGCTTAGATGTCGATATTAAAGTATCGATAAATTCAGAATTAAACAAAACATTAAGGAACTCTGAAATAATATTGCAGTATTTATTCGAGCGCTTAGTTTAACATTTGTTTCGCTAAACGCTGAGGCCAATATAATATT